TTATTTCTTTTTCAGCAATCTCTTTGCTGGTGTAGAGGAATCCAACTGATTTTTGGATGTCGATCTTATATCCTGCGACGTTGCTAAATCTCTCAATTAGTTCCAGTAGGTTTTTGACTGAATCTCTTGGGTTTTCTAGGTAAGGCATGGTTTTTTAAGGTAAGTGGAAGCAACAATTATTCAAGTCACATTTATTAAGCTGTGTTTTGCTTTTAGAAACTAGGAATACAGAGTTCAAATAAGACAAAGACCCTGCCCTTAAGCAACTGAATGACGAAATAGGAACAGCTGAAAACAGACGCATTACTGGTACTTTTAAGTAAACGCTTCTGAACTAGGAAAGTTTGTCCTATGGACCTCACACAGATCTTCTTCAAGGAGCATTCAGTATAATTAGGCTATAGTTACCTTCATATTCATCCAGGAATGTTTTAAAGTAACCCAATTCATGACAGGCTGTTGATCCATCTGAAGTTGCTTAGTATTGTACTGAAATCACAGAATTCAGAGAGAAACAGGGAACTTCTGCTACATAAACATAACCCAAATTCTGCACTGAATTCATGGGCAGAAAGAACACAGAATTCTAGAATGAGAAAGAGCCAAGATAAATCAGCTACTCTAAACCCCTCATTTTACAGACAAGACAACTAAGGTACAGCGACTTTTCCAAGGTGACACAGCCCATTCGTGGTTCAGGGGCAGACTAAAATTAGACTAGAATTCTTAATGTGTTCTAGTATTGTCCTTTCTCTTACCATCCTCAAATATCCTAGACAAAAAAAAAAAAAAAAAAAAAAGGTTCCTTTGACAATCTTGCTTGAGGCCTTTTAACTGAAGGTTAAAAAAACAAGGAGACATTATCTTCATTGACCATGCAAAAGTAATCTGTTGGTAACTTTAAAGAGCTAGCAGTTTTCAAGTAGGTTTATGAAAATTATTTACATATATGCGCTGTTCAATCAAGTACTTAGAGAGTACATTCACCAGTATTTGATTATAAAACACCTAGCTCTGATTCAACATTGTATTTTTGTCTAAAATGCAAACAAACAAGAGCTTCTTAATTATACTGGTTAGCTCTCAAGGGCTAGGCTCCATAGGAAGTACATAAAAGTTCTAAGCAATAAGGAAGAGCAACAGGAACCCCATCTGTCCACAGACTCCTTGGCTCTGATGCTCATACCCTTCCTACAAACAATCCAGCTAAGTGAAGTGTGGCCTGGTCAAAGAGTACTGGAGTCAGAAAGGCCTAGGTTCAAATCTCAGTCCAGCCATTCACTAAGTAAACTTAGACATTTATTTAACTGTTCTCTTGCCTTAGTTATAAAAATCAAGACAATACTGACCTCAGTTTTGTTGAGAAATAAATCAGATAATGTATAGAAAGTACCCAGCACACAGAATTAATGGCAGCTATTGTTAAGAAGAATAGATCAAAACAAAATCCCAAGAAGCAGACAGATGAATAAATCACTCAAGGTAGAGACTGGCTGGTCTTCCTGTAGTCTGACAGAATCGTTGAAGGGTTTTAAGTATGACCATGAAGAGGTGATTTGCAAACAGAGAGGGGAAATTTACCAAATCCAGGCCAAGCTGAAAAATATTTTGCTGAGAAAGAAGGATATATTTCCTAGGCACATAAAAGTCAGCAGAACCCCAGATCTCCAAGGGCTTACTTCCAGGTCTCATTTCAATGGCTGCCAATTAGATGCTAAATTTAGAGGGGTTCCCTGTCCTCTTCTTACTCTGGAATGGCGACCTTCAGCAGGAACCAGGCTCCTTATGTAACATAGCCACTACGGTCTTGGGACTAATTGGTGAGGTGGACTATGAAATCTGGTCAGCCTCCTGGAGGTAGGGAGAAGCAAGCTTTCCCCAGACCAAAGCCACACTTACACATGTAAAGTTTAAAGAACAGTGGGAAGAATAAGAGGGGAGAGAGGACACTGAAAATCACAAAGGGCCACATGTTAGAAACAAACTGCTCTTGTCAAGAAAAGAGCTTATGCAAATATAACTTAAAAGCTTAATTCTTCACTGAAAATTATATAAAAATACTTAGCAAGGTTCTTACTCTGTCAGAATGCAAGACACCTTGGTTTGTGCATCTGTTTCTTAAGGTCTTCTTTAATAACATGGCAATGGAAAATCCCTTCAATTTCTTCTTCAAGGCTTAGACCTTTTTTCACATAAAATACCTTAGCACTCGTCCATTTTTCCTGGCACTAAATTTGTCAGGGGGAAAAAAAAGGACTCTGGAATCTTCAGGTATGTCAGTACTGCTTACAAATAGATAGTGTGGGACAGAATGAAAGTGAATCTAGTTTATGGCAATATTGTTGTTAGGTGCTGTCAAGTCAGCTTCAACTCATAGCGATGCTATGTACAACAGAACGAAACACTGCACAGTTCTGCACCAGCCTCACAATCCTTGCTATACCTGAGCCCATCACTGCAGCCACTGCGTCAACCCATCTTATTGAGGGCCTTCCCCTTTTTCATTGACCCTCCACTTTACCTAGCATGATATCCTTCTCCAGGGAATGGTCCCTTCTGACAACATGACCAAAGTAGGTCAGATGAAGTCTGGCTATTCTCACTTCCAAGGAGTATTCTGGCTGTATTTCTCCCAGGACAAATTTGTTAGTTCTCTTGGTAGTCCATGGCACTTTCAGTATTCTTCCCTAGCACAACTCAAGAGCATCAACTCTTTTTCAGTTTTCCTTATTCATTGTCCAGCTCTCACATGCACATGAGGTAACTGAAAATACCATGGCTTGGGTTAGTTGCACCCTAGTCTTCAAAGACATTTTTGCTCTTCAGCACTTTAAATAGGTCTTTTGCAGCAGATTTGCCCAGTGCAATATGTCGTCTGATGTCTTGACCGCTGCTTCCACTGGTGCTGATTGTGGAAACAAGTAATATAAAATCCTTGACTACTTCAATCTTTTCTCCATGGAGTTGTCAAGTTGTCAAGGATGGTAGCATTGGAGCCCCTAATAGGGGAAAACCCTGGAACATGTTGAAGGCCTTGGCTAGCTCAGGAAAGGGTTCCCATTGGGAGAATGATACTTGTTTTGGTAGGGAAATCACTGTTGTTTGTTGCTGTTGTTAGGTGCCATCGAGTTGTTTCCGACTCATAGTGACTCCATGCACAGCAGAACGAAACACTGCCCAATCCTGTGCCAGCTCCATGAGCCCTGCTATACTTGAGCCCATCATCGCAGCCACCGTGTCAATACATCTTGTTGAAGGCCTCCCCCTCTTTCGTTGACCCTCCACCCTACCAAGCATGGAATCCTTCTCCATGGAATGGTCCCTTCTGACAACATGACCAAAACAGATGAGACGAAGTCTGGCCATTTTCGTTTCCAAGGAGCATTTCAGGTGCACGTCCTCCAGGACAGATCTGTTAGTTCTTTTAGCAGTCCATGGTACTTTCAGCATTCTTCACCACCACCACAACTCAAAAGCATCAACTCTTCTTCGGTCTTCCTTATTCATTGTTCAGCTCTAACATGCACACGAGGCGATTGGAAATATCATAGCTTGTGTCAGGCACACCTTAGTCCTCAAGGAGACATCCTTGCTCCTCAGCACTTGAAACAGTTCCATTGTGATTGACTTTCCCAATGCTACACGTCATCTAATGTCCTGACTGCTGCTTCCATTGGCATCGATTATAGAACCAAGCAATGTGAATTCTTTGACAACCTCAATCTTCTCTCCATTTATTGTGATGCTGCTCATTGGTTCAGTTGTGAGGATTTTTGTTTTCTTTATATTGAGTCATAATCCATACTGCAGACTGTATTCTTCAAATAGTTGAAGAATACAACTGTACCTATTTAAAGTGCTTCAACAAACGGATGCCCTATTGGAGGCACTCACTCGGTTATGCCAAGAGATTTGGAAGACAGCTACCTGGCCAGCTGAGTTAGTGGAAATCACTAAGGGGAGAAATAAGAAGTTAAACTAAAAAGGATCAAGACATTTCCTAATGGTAGCTAAACCCAGGATTTGCCATCAGAGAGATTCATCATTCATACCATGTCATATTTGTAGCCTATCAGCCCTGGCACCCGGACATCCCTGTTCGACCTCTGAATCCCTCCCCAGGAAGGGTCACCACAGACAAACCACATACAACAGCATTTTGACAGAATTCTCTCCCTATAGTTGTAGTTCATCACATAATGCCTTAATCAATTTAAATTCACATTTAAGAAAGCCTCATAGTCTCTTAATTCAGCTCAGGATTGGAAAACACCTAACTCACAAGTTTCCATGCCCTTCACTTTGCAATCACAGCACTCAGATCCATCTCTGAGTCATCCTCAACACAGGTTAATCATAACCAATAGTTGAGCTGATATGTACAATAACACCTGACATCTTTGAGCTAGGAAGTCATTCATGTTATACTCAATAAGTGCCTAGAATGTGCCCAGGTTTCAAAGATGAACAAGACCCAGTCCCTGACCTCTAGGAGCAAATAATTTGGTAGGGTTGCCCCACTGTTTGTCTGACTATAGGATGTAATAAATGTTAACAAACCTTAACAGAGTGAATACAGCACAAAAAAGAGCAATTAATTCTGTCTGAGAGGTAGTAGGGAGAGAAGATCATGTAAAGTTCATAGACGAAACACTGAGGTGGTTACTAGAGATACATAGCAGCTGGAACAACAGAGAAGAGGAGATATGAGAGAAGGCCTGGAGGTGAGAACATACAAGTGAGCTGGACAGGAAAAGTCCCACATAAATGATGCACTGTGATGATGGTGGGGAGGTGAGAGTTCAATATGTATTTGAATGGAGTTGGCAGGAGACAAATCTGGTAAGGTAAACTTAGTACCAGATTACGAGTCTCAATTTTAGTTTGGTGGCAAAAAGACTTCAACAAAAACAAAGAAATTTTTTACCCTCCAGGTCTAAAACATATCAAAGGAGGAAAGAAATGACATGTTTGTCAGACATGATCTTTAGTCCCTTCATTCTGCATCTCTGAGTTCAGCTATAACTACGTCTGCTCTAGTTCAGTATCTGCACTTCATGTATTAAACATGAGAAGATACCTGCACAGTTACAGCACTCTTTACCTCATACCCAGTAATCCTTACCTGTCAGCTGAGCCAGCTGCTATTTTGCTTCCATCAGGTGACCAAGAACATCTCAGAAGATTCTGTAATGAGTAAGCAGGAATTCATTGAGTATAGCAATGTACAAAGTCTTCTTTACTAGATTACAGAATCTCTGAGAGACTTTAAATTTCTCAGAGTTTTAATTATTCCTAGAAAGATGATCAGCAGACATCTTACATTTTGTGGCCTAAAACAGCATACTTTGTTTTTTCACACCATATAAAAACTATCTGTAGAAAATGCTTAATATACAGTTAATTAGAGTAGACCTGGCAACAAAGTTTTGTTCTGCTCACAAATGGAGGCTCTCTTTGTTCCACATATGTTGATCCTCATTAATTTTTTTTTCCTGTTTATCTTGAAGGAGACTAAAAATAAAATCAAGCCCAACAAAAAAATAAGACTTGATTTATAAAGTGAAATGGAATCTCAAATGAAAAACAAAAATCTCTACAACAGAGACTTACAGTAGGGAGAAAGCTGTTTTCAATAGAGCTGACTTTGAAATTTGAAGATTTAGAAAAAATCTGCCTTTCAGAACTAGGGTCGTGGTGCTTATTTAGGGGAGGGATGCAGTCTCAGGATTCTAACAGCTGGTCATGGCAGAATAAGGGAGACCATCTGGGTAAGAGCCATGGGACTCATGTGGCACACTGGTTTAAGAGGGTCAACATTTCCAAGGAATTAAAAGGACTAGAGTGTCCTGTTGAGAGCAGACTAAAGTCAGAGTCCTCAGTTTGAAGGTTGGTCCCAGCATTGATTGTCTTCTTCCCTATGTATCTATTAGTTTTTGGCAAAAACAGTTTTGATGAAGTGTTACTGGAATACAGCCTCTTCTTAGCAAAGCTACTACTCTCTATTCTTAGCACCACTTTGTTTGGCATGCAGAACTCACCTTTTCAAAATTGTGCACATTTCCTTGAAATATCTTCACACATCTCTCTTTGGGGGCAAACGGCCGGACATCCCAGACTCGCACTGTGAAAAAAATCCAAACCAACCAACCACCCACCAGAACAGTTATCAGCCAGAGGCCTCCAGAGAACCCACCTAAACCTAGTATCATGTCAATGATAGATACTGTTTGGCACATGAGACACTTGCTACCAGGTAAGGTTCTTTTCCTTTTTCTAGTGGGAATGAAATGCATCCAAGTCCCATTAATAGGGGCTAAGGCACAGAAGGACATGGGGGGAGCAGGAGGGGAAAAGTCAAGCATATTGCTGGGGATTTGCAGTGGGAAAAAGTTGACTGTGACACTAATCATTGCAAAACATTTTGCAATGATTGTTCTGCCAATTCAGTAACATCCAGCAAAGCTTCAATATGACAATCTAAATACCACTGACTACTGTGACTGTAAATCTATAAAAACCAAACTTAGTAGTGACCTTTCCTAATTTTGCACTTGACAGTCTACATTTGAACAAAGTCAAATATATCAAAAGAACACTGGTTCTAGGTCTGCTGTATATATGGGTGACCTTGGTTAAATAGTGATGTTCCTTGTGTCTTGATTTCCTCCTCTCTAAAATGGGAACACCACTTGCTCTCATTTTTCTTTTTAAAATACATGAGTATTTTAAGGCTCAAATGAGATGTATATGAAAGGGTTCTAAAAGGTTGAGGCAATAAACAAAAATAAAGAATTTATCATCTTGTTACATAACTATAGAAAGACACTGAGGAAGAAATGACACTTCTGAATTATGGTGTTGGTGAAGAATATGGAATAGCAGACTGCCAGGAAGATTGAACAAATCTGCCTTGGAAGACAGCCAGAACGCTCCTCAGAAGCAAGGATGGTGAGACTCCATCTCATATACTGTGTACATGTTGTCAGGAGGGAGCCATCTCTCAAGGAGGAAATCAAGCTTGGTAAAGTAGAGGGTCAGTGAAAAAGAGGAAGACCCTCAATGAGATGGACTAACACAGTGCCTGCAATGCAGGGCTCAAGCGTGGCAATGATTGTAAGGACAGCTTAGGACTGGACAGTGTTTTGTTCTGTTGCACATGGGGTTACAACAAGTCCAAATCAATGACAGCACCTAACAACAGTAACATAACAAGAAATTCTTCTTCTAATATTTTAATAAGCATTTCTGGAATCTTGTATTTCCTTACTGTGAACGATGCTAGGATCGGTCAATGGCAAATCCATCAAAATCAGGATATATGTGTAAGGACCCACTGTTAGCAGCAGGTATAGCTGTTGTAACTGAAATTATACCATACCATGAAATTTGAGTAATATTTTATTTGAGGATAAAAAAACTACATCAACCATTAGAGCCAGACAGGCATAAAAAGGCAAAGCCACGTATGAAAGTTTGCTATTGAGCTGAAAATACAGTAAGAAGGTAAGGACATTCATTTACTCAACAAGTATTTATTGAGCACCCATTGAATTCCAGACACCGTTTTTATGTTACATCAGGGAAATGCATTTTAGCTCCCAACAATCGTATGAAATTGTATACCTGGGCGTTTCCAGATGTCCCCAATATTAAGTATATATTCTGACAAGTCACCTTCTTTTTTTGCTATAGTGGACCCACCCTCCCATCCTACAACTCAAAAACCAACACAGCCCAAAGTGTGTATGTGTGTATGTAAACCTAGAATGTAGAGATGTTTTATTGAGGACCTCTTGTCACACCAATGTTTCTGGAGTGAAGACATACTGGCAGAATAGTCTCAACTGAGACATCAAAAGGACTAATGATCACCCAAGCTAGGTGTTCTCTGAAAATGCTCACAAATTGCACTGGATGGTGTTTCTAGATTAATTTTTCTTGATAAACTGATCACTAAATTTCTGGTATTCTGTGAATCCATTGCCTGCCAGAGCTGAAAGGGGCCTTAAAAGATAAATAAAGTCCAGTTGTCTTATCAGTATAAAAACTGATGCCCTGAGAAAATAAATGCTGTACGCAAAGTTGCTCAAGGACTAGCTGGCAGATCTGGGTCTAGAATCTTGACTTCCTGACTACCTAGTCTAAAGCTTTTCCCATTTTACAATGCGTTCTTTTAACAGCCCAGATGGAAACCTGGGCGCTGTCCTTGACTCTTTCCTTATACCTTTTCATTTACCCTGTCACACATTTCTACCACCTGATGCTCATTTTCTTTAGGGTTGATACTGACTGGATACTGGGAGAACATTTCCATCCAAAGTTACCTGTATTGTCCATTGCATTAGACAAGAGATAAGAGCCTTCAGAACTTAAACTCAGGCCGGTCACTGAATCTGCATGGCCTCTCATAGTATAGGTTAACTTGTTTTGGCGCAGGTCCCAGACCTGCAAATACAAAAACATGCCCCCAGAAATCAAATAGAGAACAGCAGTGGAAAAGAGTTACTCAATAGTCAATTGCCTGGAGAAACTGACATCCCTTCTTAATCTGGCCCTGGGCCAATTATCACTTTATTACAAAATATACGATTTCTGTCAAAGAGGAAAAAACCTTTGCCTTTCTAAATAGGCAGCCAAAAGTTTCTATGTTTGCCTAGATATTCTAATGAAGGTCAAATATTAAGATAAAGATTAATTTAAAAATGACAAAATTAACAGGTTATTTTCAAATCATAACAAAATATATTAAGCATTAAAGAGAAAACCAAGAAGGATTTGAAACACTTAAGCTATGATTGTTAGTCACTAAAAATAAATTAGAACTAACCTAAAAATAAGCAAATATGTCATTTGACAAAGGCATTAAGATTACATGTAAAATGTGTATACACAGACAAAAACTGCAAGGCAACATACAAAAATAGATGCTTACAATTTTTCTTTTAATGTATGTATAGAGAAGCATATCCATTAAAAGAAAAATAATTATTTTAAGATTCACTGTTGCCTGGGTATCAAAGGTAAGATGAAGAGCTCAGCTGGAATTAACCTATATGGCCAGCAGAGAAAATAAATGGTTTACCAAGTGTTCTGGTTACCTAGTGCCACTCTGACAAGAATATATGACAAATGGGATGGCCTTAACAAATAGGAGTTTGTTATAGTTTGGAGGCATTAAGTTCAAGTTCAAAGTGCCAGACCCTAGAGGCTGGTTAAAGCCCTCAACCTTGGGCTTCAGCTCTGCCTCCTGCTCTTGGCCCACTGAAGCTACAGGCTTTTCTTCACTCAGACAGCTACTGCCTGTTGAGACTGACAAGCCCAAGGTTGACAAGTAAAAAGGCATAGTCCTGATGTTACCAAACCACCCGTCTGGCCATTAATTCAAGTCCACTGAAAGTCACAAGGTCGGCAGAGCATGGCAGGCTGCTGAACAACAACACGGCTACATGCAGGGTTCAAGCCAGCCATAAGCTAGAGACTGTTCCCCAAGGCTTCTCCTTGTGTACAGGAAACAGACTCATTCCACCATGGAGGTGATTATCAGTCTCATCATGGGGAATACGACATCTAGCTGCCCAGCCACTCAGCCAGGCCCAGCCAGGTTGACACACAAACTTAACTATCACAGTATGGCTCATAAACACGCTACAACACTATGAGTTCTCATGTAGGAGACAGTGTGGAAGAGCAGAAATTGTACAGCCTTGATGGCAGACTGAACTGGTCTCTGCCACTTGGAGCTGTGGTGTCAGTGGGCTACTCAAACTTTCTGTGTCCGTTTCCTGGTCTGGAAGGTGAGGATAATACTATTTACTTGTTAGGCCTATTGTGAAGATTACAAATAGAATACTTAGCATATGCTTGGCATCTAGCAGCCCCTGAACAATTGGTAGCTATTATTAAACAGCTCCTAAAAATAACTTTGCAGACCAAATATAAAAATGTTTATATAATCTATTAAGCAAAAAGGAATATAAAAAGTATTAATATTCATATTTATATAGACAGAAGTATGTAAAACAAAAAACATAGTTCAAAGAAATGGTCTGGAATGTCATATGAAAAAGAACAGCAATTTTGTTAGAAGTGTTGCTAGTATACAAAACTTTCCCAAAATTTTATTTAATATTGCCATGTAGTTTGGAATTTTTTTTTTTCTGTTCCTTTAAGCAGGGCACTTTCCCTCTCCAGAAAGGAATTAGGTGTTGTATGTCAAAGCAATACATAAGACAGACAACTCCGCTTCCCCTGTCAATAAGTCATTCATGTGTGGAGCACAACACACTTTATATACGAGAATTTTTGCGTCAGGATGTTTGCTGCCTCAGTAATCAGGAAAGCCTGAAATGGCTGACATTTTGTTCAAGCTGTTGTTTTTCCTCTTCACAGGAGGCATTGTTGAAATCTTCAGCTTTGCAACAACTATGAGAGAATGCAATTTGCCGTCTCCCACGGTAAATTGTGCAGGGCCAGAACTATCTGGGATTTGCCACAGAAAGAGTGAGTAAAATTGAAATAAAGGATTTTGCAAATGTCCTAATCAACTCTTCAATGAACATCTGGGCAGGCACTGTTAGAGATGAAAACAGTCATAGTCTCTGTTTTCAACGAGCTTTCGGTCTAGTAAGGAAAACAAATGTACACAAGCGATGAGAGGCCAGGACAAGGTAAGTAGTAGATGGTGGCAGGATTAACTCTTGTGGAACAGGGAGAAGTGAGATAGTGAAAATTTCACAGAGAATGAAGCACATGAGCAGGGTCTGGAAGAAGGAAGAGCTATGTTTTATTTAGACAAAGTGAAGTTTGCTGGATTGTAGAGAATGTGGCATGGAGTGACAGTAGGTGATGCTTTAGAGGCAGGCAGGCAGAGGATAGCTTATGAAAGATTCTGAATGCCTAGCTAAAAAGCAAAGGAGCGCTAGTGGCACAGTGCCTAAGGCATGTGAGTGCTAACCAGAAGGTCGGCAGTTCAAGCCCACTAGGTGCTCTGCAGAAGGAAGATGGGGCAACCTACTTCCTTAAAAATTTACCACCTCAGAAACCCAGTGGTGGTCTCTATGATTTGGAAACAACTCAATGGCAGTGAGTTAAAGTTAAAAACCTAAAAAGTTTAGAGTTTAACCTCACTAAGGAGCTGCAGAAGGGTTTAAAGTAGGAGAACGAATTGGTCAGATCTGCATTCTAGAAAGATCCTCCTGGCCTGAATAGTTGAACGGATAAGACCAGAGGCTGGGAAATCACTGAGGAGATCTATTCTATTGTCTTACCTACTATTTAAAAAACAAAACCACAAAATGAACAAAAACCCCCTTAAACTTCCATGCTGACTAGAGCTCAGGATAACACAAAATACCAAGGCCCTGCCAGCTACACCTTCGAAGCCATCAAGCAGTTGTATATTTTCTTCTTGTTTTCATTTTCCTCTAACTCTCCAATCCTGCCCCCAGTAAGAAAGTTCCAAGAAGATGACAGAACAGTCTATTTGCTTACAAACACACATTTTGTTCACTTAATACTTTAAAAGGGGTTCTGTTCTCTGTCTGGTGCCCGTTTCTCAGAACAGACAGTGCTGAGATAGACTGAGAAGCAAACAAACAACAGGCTCCTTTAGGAGCACCTATTTAAGTGGTACGACAGTGCAGTTATTTCTCAAGCAAGTGCTCAAGACTAGTAAGCCCCTAAGTGCCTAAAAGGTACTTATTAATTGACTAGAGGGAACATGACAAAGTGAAAAGAATTTTGGCCCCTCTGAATATAAAGTTTGATCTGGGCTCCAAAACTGACCAAATGTTTGACTCTCTGACGCTGGCCAAATCACTTAACCTGTTAGGGCCTCATTTTGATCATATATAATATAAAGGATGGAGTGGATGATGTCTAAGGTCTTTTTCAAGTTAAAATTCCTTGAGTCTATTTTTGATTGAAAAGGAATCTCTCCTTTGCATTTTAAAAGAAATTTATGAGGGCCTGAAACACTTACCACTTCTTTTGGGTCTAGCGCTACTATTAAGGCACTAAGCATGTAGGAACAGAATGTTAGATAGGGAGAAGATGGAAATTCTAATATGCTCTCACATCTTCCTAGTACGATTATACACCAGGAACACGAAGTCAAATAACTATAGCAACCTGATTTCAAATACTAAACCAAAACCAAACCCACTGGTATCGAGTTGATTCCAACTCATAGCAACCCTATAGGACAGAGTAGCACTGCCTCACAGGGTTTCCAAGGCTGTAAATCTTTACGGAAGCAGACTGTTTCATCTTTCTCCTGCAGAGTGGCTGATAGGTTTGAACCACCAACCCTCTGGTTAGCAGCCAATGCTTTAACCACAGTGCTACTACAGCCCCTTGATTTCAAATACAGTATTGATTAATTCCATATCTAAAATATCAAAAGTTTGTAAATTAATTTTCATCTGGAAACCTATTATAAGAAAATAAATATGGAAAAAGTTCCCTGAACAGAAATATTCATAGCAGCATAATCTGAAACTGCCTACATGACCAGTGACATGGCCAGTGACATGACCTACATGACCAGTGACAGTGACCTACTTACTACTGCCTTTGTTCTCCAGAGCTGCTATAATGGAAATACAAGTGGATGGCTTTAACAAACAGGAATTTATTCTCTTCTAGTTTAGGAAGCTAGAAATTTGAATTCAGAGTGCTGCTCTAGGGAAATCCCTTCAACCTTGGGTTTCAGCTCTGCTTCTTGTTCCAGGCCCACTGGAGCTGGAGGCTTCTGACTCACAAAACCTACTGGTTGCTGAAGCTTCCAATCCAAGGCTGGCAGGTAAAATGGCACAATCCTAAGATCAGCAGGCAATACGACAGGCCACGGGTTCCAGTCCGGGAACAATCCCAAGACTGGGAGGCAATACAACAGGCCCCTGGTCCAAGTCCAAGAACTGGAGATGATGACTCGGCCAAATGCAGGATCTAAATGTGCCAGAAAGCTGGAGACCTTTTTCAAAGCTTCTTCACATGAACTAGAAGCAGGCTACACTCCAAAGGCAATTTTCCTTCAACTGATTAGGTGCTCACAGCAGACTCCACCGTGGAGGGGATTGCAGTCTCATCATGGGGAATAACGACATCTAGCTGCCAAGCCACTCAGAATCATGGCCCAGCCAAGTTGACACACATCCTTAACTACCACACCAACTAAATGACTGAACATTCTAACCATGACAATGAATGCGGCTGACATACAGACAAACACTGAACATCTACTATGTGTCTGCCACAATGCCAGGAATATTTTATCTTTTATCTCATTTAATCTAATAATTCTATGAAGTAGGCTGATTATTTGCTTTTAGAGATAAACAGAGACTCAGAGAGGTTAAATACTTTTCTTAAGGACACACAGCTAGCAATTAAGTGACAGAATCAGAAAAATGACTGTTAACTATAGTGCTAAGAAAAAAGTAAGAGTGATGTACTAAAGAGCAATTAGAACAAGGGCTTAGGAAATCCTCTCTGAAGAGGAGACATAAGTGAGCTAAGTGAGACAACCACAGAAGTATCTGGTGTAGGGGGATTCCAGACAAAGGAACTAGCTACATGATACTAAAAATAATAATAAAAGATTTTATCTAAAATGTGATTATTAATATGCTTACATACAAAATACTATATACAGAAAAAAATGGAAGGTAATACATACTGAAATTTCAATAGTAATTGAACTTGGATGAGGTTATAAGTGATCTACAGAAGGCCCAGGAATACTCTAGATAAAGAACTCAGGAATAAGTCACGCTAAAAGAAGACTTTTAACTATTGTTAATAGACAAGAATATAATTCCTACACAAGTCTCTAACAATAGTGGAGATGAGGACATCCAATTCTAAAAGTTAAAAAAAAAAAAAAAAGTCTCAAAAGGTTACATATGGTATGATTATATGACATTACGGAAAAGAAAAAAACCATGAGGACAAAGAGCAAATTAGTGATTGTTAGGGGTGAGGCACGTCTGACCACGAAGAGGAATGCTATGGAATTTTGGGGGTAATAGAAATTGTTTTATACCTTGTTTGTGGTAGTTATATGGTTCTATGCAAGTGCTGAAATTCATAAAACTGTACAACATAGAAAAGTTCATTTCACTATGTACATTTAAATACTTTTGAAAAACTATAAAAATTAGCATCACTTGACACTAATCCACCTTCATGTGCATAAGAAGCCCTTTAGTGATTTTTATGTTGGTGAGTTTCTAAACTTCACTCTGGGAAATAATATACTAGCTATTGAGAAGGTCTAATTAAGTCCCTATGTGCTGATTCCATATTCTCCAAATAGTTATATGGGGGAAAGGGGAAAGGAAGATAAATTCAGTTTTGGAAATGGTAAATTTTGAGGTACTTATATGATACATAAGTGGGGGGGGGGGTCCTGAATAACTGGTTGTATAAAGGGGCTCAAGATTTGGGCTGGGAATATAGATTTGAGAGTCATCAGTACAGAGCTGGCAATTTAAGTCCTGGAAATTGATGAGGCTGTCCAGGGAAAACACATAAAGTAAGAAGTGGTTAGGAAAGAACTTTGGGTAATAGTGGCATTTAAAGAGCACAGAGAGACATTAGCTTGTAGATACATCTGAGAAGGTGCCAGAGGTGAAGAGTTATGTAGTCGCAGAACTCAGGAAAAACAGGTCAGGTCAAATGCTGGTCATGTTTTGCAGAAAGAAAAAGACTAAAATGATCTACTGGATTTAGTAACAGAGATCACTGGTGATCTGGAAGAGAACAATCTCAGTGGGAACAATGGCAATAGAGCCAGAACACCAAGGAGTGAAGGAATTGAGGATGTAATGAGAGGTTAAGGAAGAGAGTGAGTGTAGAAAAATCTTCATGGGATTTATCAGAGAGGTTGAGAATATGATTATGGAACTAAACTGTTTGGGTTTTGATTTGAGATTCTATCGCTTATTAGGGGTATAACCTCAGGTAAATTGTTGTATTTCCCTACAGCTTAGTTTATTCACCTGTAAAATGACTGCTATTGTGTGCCGCCCATTGAGTCAATTCTGACTCACAACAACCCCATGCGACAGAGCATAACTGCCTCGTAGGGTTTCCTAGGATAAAGTCTTTATGACAGTAGGTCACCAGGTCTTTTCTCCCATGGAGCCACTGGTGGTTTTGAATTGCCAACCTTTAGGTTAATAGTGGAATGCTTAATCACTGTGCCAGCAAGGCTCCTTAAAATGGCATCAGTAGTACTTAATTGAGGAGCTCTGGTGGCATAGTGCCTAAGGCATTTGACTGCTAATCAGAGGGCTCAGAGGGCTGGTGGTTCAAACCCACCAGCCCCTCCTCGGAAGGAAGATTGGGCAATCTACTTAATCTACTTCCATAGAGATACTGCCTCGGAAACCCAAGGAGGGGTTGTTATGAGTTGGGACCAACTTGATGGCAATTAGTGGTATACTTAATTCACAGGACTATTATGAAGATTAGATGAATTAATAAATGTAAGGCCTTAAGAACATTACCTAACACGTAGTAAGGGCTGTCTAAGTATTTGATGATGATGATGATGATAAAAATAACATTATCAACATTTTTTGAGAAGTTAGGATATGAAGACGCAGGGATATGAGGCTGAAGGAAGATTTTTTTTTTTTTTTTCCTCCCATTTCAGGGAAGAGACATGAGCATGAATAAATGCTGATGAGAAGAAACTACAAAAGATGAAGAAACTGAAAATAGGAGTCAGAAAAATTGATGGCATGAGGTCCCTAAGAAGGGAAGAAGTATTGAAATTTCCATTTAAAGGATTACCTTTAGGCAAAAGCAAGGACTCCTCATCCATAGTGACAAGACAAGAGGCAAGAAAAGGGAAAACAGTAGTTTCTAAGTAGGGGCAACACTGGAAGTTGAGTATTTACCTACGTTTACCATTCTCTTGATGAAGCAGAAGTTGAGTCCAAAGTCTTTGAGATCCTTAAGGAAGCCAGTAAGTAAAAACAGACACAAATTGTGTAACTCCAAAATAATATCTCACATTTACTGGCATATGTTAAGTCTAGGAACTCTGCTTGGTGCTCTAATGCATTAGCTCATTTAATACCCACAACCTTAAGATGTAGATACTATTATTACTCCCACTGTTCACACTGAAAACAGAGGCGTAGTTATATACTTTAAAAACTTCCTTCTCATACTCCTAAAAAGAAAGACCATATGGAGTGATCAGGGCAGGCAATCACAAACTGATTCACTCATATCAGATGTCTCATTAGGCCAAAACAGCCTTATTTAAAAAAAAAAAATGATTTTGAATGTCTTTAGGCAGGGATTACAGTCTCTGTTTCCAGTCCCCCCACAGGGATTCACATTACCTACCTGGTCCTTGAAGCATTTATATGAGCTGCAATGCAACCTCTGATTCAGGAAGTCAATGAGGATAGGACAGAAAGAAAAGAATAGTTCTAAGTCACCATCTTTCTTTTAATATGTATTAAAAGCAAAGTTACCAATCTCAGAAGCTTGAAAAGATTATACATCTGTGAGTAGAGATAGGTGAAAGGGAATGATTAAGCATCAAACGTACCTTGATATCATTGTCTATGCCACCAGAAATAATCTGGTCACTTGTGTCATTGAAGGTCACAGCTAACACTTGGTAGGTGTTTTGAAATGTCTGGATGGCTGCTTTCTTACGGATGTCCCAAAGCTGAAACAAAAGAACAGGAGTCTATTAGTAACATCATTCTAAGATAGAACTAGACAGTATACATTAAAGAACTTTGTGGAGGTGAGCACATCACTAAAAAGATGAGGAACTTTTCTGGATATTCTGGTAACACACATGGTTAAGAAATAGCCACAATTTTGCCAACATATATAAGGTTGGTAGAACAAATCATCTCAGTTCTATTTCCAGATTTCTTTGTTAATGTTTAAATAAATAAAGTTAATCAACACGGTTTACAGTGGAAGTCCCTCTACCTGCTTAATTTGTATATTTTTATACAAGGACAAAAGGCAACAAGGATATTAGACCAGTGCTTTTCAAACTGTAGATCTTAAGTCATGAGTGGGCTACAAACTACATTTAAAAACTAAGAAAAAAAGAAAAATCCAACATTATAGAGGAAGGTATGTCAGTGAAAACGGCAGAGCAGAGAACACCAAAAAGGAGCTCCAATGTTACAAACAGTTAAGCGCTTGGCTGCTAACCAAAAAGTTGGCAGTTCAAACTTATTAGCCTCTCTGTAGAAGAAAGGACCTGGCAATCTGCTCTCGTAAAGACTACAGCCTGGGAAACCAATGGAGCAGTTCTACTGTGTCATATAGGGTCACCATGAGTCAGAATTCACTAGATAGCACACAACAATAACAACAGAACCATAGGTAGCAGAATGGACCTCATTCTCAAAGAAGTTTTGGTTGTTTGGACTTCTTGTCTGTGAATGACCAGCTCAAAAGTCTTGCCTTTATGGTGCTGTGGTGTGGTAAATTACTTAGTGTGGCTTTTCTAGCCATAAGTCTTTGTAAACTCTGAGGTGGAATTTGCCATGAGCAACTGAGGAGCTCCTGATTGCTAAAGTTGTCCACCTAGGTTATTTCTGTTGGGAGTGGCACAAAACAATGTTCTGGGAGGTTCTCACTCTCTTTCAGGTGGTTAGAATTCTGACTTTATGATTGGTTGCTTTGGCCACTTTGCCGGGCTCAAAAGGAGGCCTCCTAGAGGCAGAGGTCTCTCTCTGACTGCTGGTTGAGGAAGACGTGCTGCTGAAAGAGACAGGCACTCCAGAGAGACACTCATTGCTGAGTGAGACACCAAGGGACACGCACTGCTGGGAGAAAGACTGTGAGAGACTTGGCTGAGAGACGGTGGGCTGGGAGAGAGACTGAGCGTTTTTCCTGAATTTGAATTGTAGCCTGGTGCTTCCCTAATAAACCCCATAATCTGTCTGTGTGGCCACTGCAGTGAATTATCAAACCCAGGAAAGAGGTGGTGGGTACTTTGGGAGGAATGGTTGGTGAAAGGGCTGGAGGCAGGCAGCATGTCTGGCCTCACAGTAATAGGCCTTGGGTTACTGATGGTGATCCTGTCTTCCTCTTGTGCGGTTAGAGGAGGTCAGAAAATGTGGCCTCCTTGCCCTTTTAGCAGGTGCCTAACATAAAACTCTCCAAAGGGGGTTAGGGGAAAGGTATAGCATTTATCACACACATTTAAAGGCAAATACGTTAGCAGCTGCTGCCGAGGGCAAGGAATAACAGTTGGGGCAAACAATGGATAAACCAAAACACTTGGGAGAAAAGTTTAAGGAATGAAATGTTTTGGAAAAAAAAACTTGGAAAAGCTCACACATTTTACTAGGAATCTAGAAAGCTACACACATGTCCAGAAGAGACCTGAGAAGGCCCAAAGCTCTCGCAGCTGGCTGACCTTCAAGTGCACAAGCAGAAAGTGAAAGCTAAGGCAGTGTTGTAAACTGCCTGGCGGAGTGTTGAACATGTGTCCCAACACACACACACGCACACATGGAGATTTGTTCCAGACATTTAAGGAAATCTCTGTTGAAACATTAGTTGATCACTGTTGTTGTTAAGTGC